GCCCTTTTTTTTTTTTTTTTTTTTTTTTAAAATTTTTTAGTTGTTAATATGGTGTATTACATTGACTCACTTTTCCTATGAGAAATACTCACATTTTCTTGGTTTTTTGTATGTTGAGTAATATTTTAATGTGTCCTGGACATTGTGAATGTTATATTTTATAAATGTTGAGCCCTTTTATAATTCTCCAACAAACTTTTTTTGCTTTGTTTTTTTAAGCAAGTAGTCAGCCTGTTAAAGGTCAGACTGCAATTTACATATCTTTTGTGAGTGGTGGTTCCAGTATCACTTTATTTTCTAAACCTCTTGTCCTGCTTTAGGTCTTTCTTTCACACGTTCCACTCAGGAATTAGGGTGAAAACTGGGTGGTAATTAAAATCTTGTTTCAGTTTAGAAAGACTGCTATTCTGATTTGGGTCTGTGCCACACGTGTGCATCTTGTTGGTGATTTTAGGCCTTTTATGTAGATTTAGAGGATCCTTCTATCCAGCTGTCTCCTATTTAGGACCCCCCCCATCCCCCTTTTTAGGATGCATTTTCCAATTCTGACCAGAAGCACAGTTTTTCTCAGAAGTTTAGCTACATGAGCTTCTGATACTTAGCTCTGAGACAGGGTCTCACTTTTCATCAGATTGAAAGAGAGAGGAAAAAAATGAGAATCTTAGCTCTGTATGGGTAATTCTCCAAGTTTTAACTCCCCTACACAATATACCTGCTTTGTTTAGATTACTATATAATTTTGGGGAATTGAATATGAAATTTGTTTTTAGTTATCATTCAGTTTTAAGTCTTTTTACTTTTGTAGTTATTTCTGATGATCATTTATTACTATCAATTATTAACTTTCCTATTTTTCATGGTGATTATTTACAAATTTAAATCAGAAGGTCCTTAAAAAGTTTGTGAAAAATAGAATCAAAAGATAGTATAAATCTTTTCATGAGCTTTTGAAGTACCCTCATATGTTCTATCATTAAACAATGCTTTTTATGTATTGACTTAAAAAATAAAGTTGGTAGTCTCCGAAGGACATTGATAAGCCTGTAGCAGGAAAAAAGTCTCAGAGCCAGCTTTATGCATTACAATTTGCATATACGTATCTGCATGGAAGAGTCACCATATTTCTTGAATTGTAATTTATTTTTATTTAAAGGAACTATAACTAGCCTGAGATAATCAGATTAAATTCAGAAGTTATATTAACTGACTTATATATTACTTAAAATAGATTTATAATAATATGAAAAAATATATATCTTAAATCTTTAGTTTTGAAAATTATACTCAGAATGGTTTGTTTTTAATTTTTGTCCATTCAGTGTTATCTACAAACTTTTGGCATCGAAAAGTGAAGGGATCAGAGTACAAGCTCTCAAGGCAATGGGCTATTTTTTAAAACATCTGGCCCCAAAGTGAGTATACATGAAATCCAAAATGCACTCTCATATATTATTTATTTTATAAACCTTTGGAATAGCATTTCTCTTCTGTGGTCCTTCCAGTCTTTCTTTTATTTTTATCCTTAAAATGCTGTATAAATTTAATCACATTACTACATATTTCAAATATGAAGTTGAAGGGGAGTATATAGTTTTTGTGAGAACTATTTAAATTATTCATATATTTTGTGTTAATTATGAAAATTAGTTTGGATGAATTGAATTCTAGAAACTGTGGAGACTTCATTTCAGGTGACTTGCATCATCATTTGCTTTATCTTGTACTATAAAAGCTGATACAGTAACCTGGATGTTTGCCACATAGTATGTTTTGCTATATGCATAACTAAAAACTGGAACTCCTAGACTTATTTTCTTAGCTAAGTGCCGATACTCATATTCTATCTATTGTTCCTTATACTAGCAGTAGTTTCTTATTGAAATGTAAAATTTTGGGAGTAAAACAAATGTTGGTAAACTGCAGTTTTTAGGAATCCAGCTGGCCACCTGTAAATAAAGTTTTTTTTGGAACACAGCTATGATAGTTTATTTGCATATTATCTATGGCTGCTTTCATGATATAAGGGCAGTGTTGAGTTGTGACAGAGACCATATGGTCCACAAGGCCTAAAATATTTACTATCCAGCCATTTGCAGAAAAAGTTTGCTGACCCAAGGGATAGAATTAGAGTTTGTGATCCTTCAGTTTCTAAATTTGTGCTGCTTGGAAAGTTAATTTTGGCATATGTATTTTCATAGTATTCATTTTCTCGAATTATCTTACATTTCTGCTACCTTTTCTCCACATGCTTTTCCACTTAACTACTTATTATGCTTTAGATGCTTCCCCAGTAGAGCCGAGCTCACTGCTAGCAGATAGTAGCAACGCGTTAAATCAATAATTGCTCTGAAGATTTTGATGGAGATTTTTGTTGTGCTCTAGTATAGCCAATCTTGTGATTTTTTTTTTTTTCCACTTTGGCTATGCTTATATTGTAGTTAGCATTTCCCTACTTAAAGGTTTTGTAGCCTTAAAAGTTCTAGGTCCAAGAAAATTGGGAGAATAATTGAGTTGAAAGTTATTTCTAATGTGAAAAAAAAATTTTGTGTTTCCTTCATCCAGCATGCACAGTAAAATTCTGCAGTTGATGATTTCTTCTGTGTAATTTCAGGAGAAAGGCTGAAGTCATGCTTGGACATGGATTGTTTTCATTGCTAGCTGAAAGACTCATGCTTCAGACAAATTTAGTCACAATGACCATGTATAATGTCCTGTTTGAGGTAAGAATGTAGTTATGTAGATAGAATTTACTCTTAAAAATTTCTTATTATAAAAGCACCTATCTAATTGAGTTGACAGTGTCTAGATAAAGTAAGATCATTTAAATTTTTAATGTGTAAGTTTGAAGTTACTCATAAAAGGACGTGGCTGTATTTTTATAAATCTATCAATCTGTGAATTACTAAAGTTTACTTCCTTCATTGTATTAACTATTTGGTATCTCATTTTATAATTAAGTAAAAATAGAGTTATAATGCTGAAGTTATTTTATGTGGACCGTATGCTAAGTTTTGATTAGTATTGTACTTAGAGTTCATTAATAGTGATTCTAATACAGTGATTATGCTAATATTATCTATTGTTTTACTTCTGTAGATACTTATAGAACAGATTTGTACTCAGGTGATACATAAACAGCATCCAGATCCAGATTCTTCAGTAAAGATACAAAATCCTCGTATGTATTTTGTATACTTAAAAAATTTACCTTTTGCTAATTAAAAAGAAAGTCACGGTGAAAAACCTAAAAGTTCAAATATTGTTGAAAACAGATTATTAGATGAATATTTCATTATGTGCAATAATATCATACTAGTTTTATTTGTGATTTATGTTGAATATAATTTCATATGAACCTTAAGTTATGTTGAAATGCATATGTAAAAGTATTGAAAAATTGTAATGCATAAGATTTTGATTTAATGTATGTTCAGATTTTCAGCAAAGTTTTTTTTTTTTCGTGACCGGCAATGGATCGCAACCCTCAGTGTCGCACCCGTACCGGACCGGGACCGGCAACGGGATCGCAACCCTCGGTGTTGCCCCCATACCGGACCGGGACCGGCAACGGG